AAAAGGAGACCAGGAGAGGATGGTATTAGGTGTTAAGGAAGGGTGGAAAGAACACATGAGCTGTGGATGGAAAAGTAATTAACAGAGAAAGTATTAAACCCTAAATGAGCAGCACTGGTAACTGTACCCAGAACATACACAAAATATACTATAGGGTCTGGAGAGATGGCTCCACATTTAGCACTGGTGCTCTACAGAGGACCCAGGTTTGATTCCCAGAACCCACATGGCTGCTCTCAACCATGTATAACTCCAGTTCCAGAGGATTCAATGCCCTCTTATTGCCTCAACAAGCACTTCATGCATTTGGTACACATATGTGTAGGTAAAACACACACACACACACACACACATATATATATAGAATAAAACTTAATAAATCTTTAAAAATGATAAAGCAATTAAACTATGTAAGAGAGATGATCAAAAGCAGACATTAAAATATCTAGCTTATTTTTTTAACTGCATTAGGACCAGGGAAATTCTAATCAAAACCACAGGTTCAGCCTGCAGCATATCCACTAAGTGGCAATGATCAAAGCCATGGGAGAGCCAAGTGTTGGGGGAAACATGGAATATCTGGAACTCTCCTGCATTTTTAGGAGACATAGAAAATGCTGTAGCTACTATGGAAAATGAATGCTCATTCATTCATTCAAAAGTTGTTTAATATGTTAAAAATGGGGTTACTTTGTAACTCAGGAACAACAATTCTGAACATATAACACCAAACAAAAAACAAATATTCAAATACAATCTTGTATGCAAATTCTCATAGCAGCAAAATTATAGCAAACATGTAATATTAACTTCAGTGTCCATCAATTGATATGGAAAATCATTTCTTCATAGACACCGAAGACAGTGATACTTCCTTCCTTTAATAGTATGCTGAGTGCAGATGCCTGACACAGAGATGACATAGTCTATGATCCCATTGATGTGAAATACCCAGAATTTGTAAATATACAGAAGGCTAACTGGTTGTTGCTTAAGTCAAGGTTGCTTGAAGCACAATGCTTCAAATGTGTAACATGGCTAGAACAAAGTACTCTGCAGTTGACATTGGTAATGGGCCATGTGGGTCATCAGTCAGTGCAGAGTCCTGAGTGATCAAAATGCTGAGAATAATTGACTGTTGAGTGCTGAGTCATCATCATGTATCATCTGCATGAGATCATGCCAATTATATTTGGTGGCAGAACTTTTGGACTCACTGGGTGACAGAAAAGTTAGAGGGACACAAGTTGAGAGGAAGATATGTTGGGGTGTCTGAGGCAAGTGAGATGTGAGAGTTAGGGGCACATATAATTAAGATAGATTGTATACCTATATGATATCATCAAAGGATAAATAAAAAAATTCCAAATCAAAGCCAGAAATGGTGGCTTACACCTTTAATCTCAGTACTCAGGATGCAGAAGTAGAGAGATCACCGTGAGTTCAAGGCCAGTCTGGTCTACACAGCAACTTCCAGGCCAGTTAGAGCTACATAATGAGACCCTCTCTAAAAGAAAAATTAAGTTTGTAAGGGCATACATATCTTTGAATGCACTAAAAAAATATTGGATAGTGCCCTTAAGTACAATCCAATAAGATAGTGAATTGTATGTCAGGTGAATTATGTACCAATAGAGCTGCTAGTTTTGGTAAGTGTGAAAGAGAAGAAAGAACTGGGAAACATGGCCACAGACAAGAGCACTAGGTCAAAAGGGATAAGAACCATCATACATACCTACTGACATGAATAACAGATCAAAAATTCAAATCTTAAGTGTTTCATGTTTTTTCCACAAATGGGTCCTTTGGGTTGTAGGGATAATCGACGCTCACACCAAATGCTGTGCTCATGATCTACAGCCATGCTGTAGGCTCCAAACACTCTGAGGAGAGAGAGACATGGAAATTTAACACATGCAACAGAAGCCTGAAATATTCACATTCTTGGCCAAGACAGGGTAAACCACCTCACCTCAGTATTGACCCAGCACCGTTTCCTCCTGCTCACTCTCTACCCTTGTGAGCTTGGCACACTTGTGTTTCTTTCTCAAATGTACCTTTGTCATCCAGTGTCTAAAAGGGAAGAAGGAGCGGCTGTACATGTGAGACACACAGAAGGATGACCCTTCTGCTCCAGTTGTCCTTCCTCTCCCAGAACAACAGTGGATGTACCACTACTCACTCTTTCATGTTGGGAGGCTTGCCTTTCTCTGCCTCTCTTCTCAAGTATTTTACCAAAATATCTCCATACTGTTCAACGATGGGGAACATCTAA